TTTCAAATATCGTTTTTGCTTGGAAATAAAATTCACTTTTTTCGCATTTTACAATTCTTATGTCTAAACGCCCACTAAATAAACAAAGGAAGAAAGAAAAGAGAAACTGAATGTTGGGAGATGACCAAAACCCACCAAATCCGTTATGGAAAGTATACTGTCTTAATGTACTAAAGTAATCTGTTACACCTAAAAATAATCTAATTCTAAATGGTAAAATATTTAATAATCCACGTGTCCGTTTATTATTGGTCACGCTTACGTAGACCAGCCTCCCTTCCCACTTCACTACAAAAACTCCGCCATTTTCAAAGCATTAAAAGCTCCTCAAGAAAAAACGTTAAACCCTTCAACAAATCCTCAGAAAAGAACTTCCGGTGATCGGACGGTGACGGAGATGGGTCAAAAAGGGGTTATATCGCCGGCGAAGAAACTGTTTTCATGGGTTCGAAGACAATCGAAGAAAGTGAAAATCTTTTTGGGTTTAACCACAGCGCTTACGCTATTGGTTACGCTCAAGTTGGTCGTCCATGATCACAACTACTTCTTTGTTACGGCTGAAGCTATTCATTTGATTGGGCTTTTGGTTTTGATTTACAAATTGACCACCCTCAAAACTTGCTCTGGTAATTTCGTAGCCATAAAATCTTTTTAGTTTTGTTAGTAAAAAATATATATTATTTTTATCTGTTATTTTCGTGTTACTTTGTTACTGTTCTGTGCAAATTTTTTTTCTTTATGTTGAGTTTCCTTTCCCTTTGATTGTGTTGTTTTGTTAAAATCCTTCTCTTTTTTTTTTTGGTTCGTCTTTAGTAAATTCTTCCTCTGAGAAACAAAAATATTTGGTCTGCATGCGGAATTTTCCATTTTGATTATCTGCTTTACATAGATAGATATGATTTTCCGGCATCTTTATCAATTTAGATGAGTCAATTTCTATGGTATCACGGTTTGTCTGCGCCTCTGTCGCAGCTAAAAGACTTCTCCTTTAATTTTTGTGTCCCTTTTTCTCCTTTTACACTTAACTTTGCTGACCTTAAATTTGTCAACTTATCATAAATCAGTTTTTCCTGTGCGAGTTATTTCTTTTACCTCTTTTATCATGAGACTTGTCCAGTTATGTGGCCCTTCCAAGGCCAGTCATTTTCTGATTGATAGAAAGGTAAAACACAATAATCCAAAATGACTGGTAGTGCTCGTCTTGGATTTGGCCGTGCCTTTCGGATATTGGTCCGGCTCTTGAGTGTCGGAGGCATGATTTCTGCTATGGGGGTTCAAAAAAGAAAAGTTGAAATTTTTGGTAGCTAGTGGGAATTGAACCAATGACCTTACAAAGGTTTGAACCCCCTTGACCACTAAACTATGGTTTTGGACTGTGTCAAGAGGATTTAAAACATAATATATAGAGGTCAAAAATAGATTTTGCCTTATATATACTGTGTGATTTTTCGGTGAAGGGGGTTCACCCCCATAAATCCGCCCATGAGGGTGTGTGTCAAATTTGTTTCATAAAGGAACTCTTGATAGTCAGGAACATATTTATGTTTGTCAAACTGAACAACATGCTGCCTTACAAGAAGTGCTATGTCCAAAACGATGATTCATTTTTGCTCAAGGCAACATACCTTTATGACAGTGTGAATCTTCTACATTCCTGATTATCCCTCGACAAGATGATTGTCCAATGCTTGATGTGCTTTTTTACTCCCACAGATTAATAGGTGGTAAGCTAGTATGCTTGTCTTTATGTTCCTGTTGTATAAAATGTGCTACTTTAGAACGATGTTATTACTCGCAGAATGTGAGAAGTCCAACATGAGCTCTTAGATTATATACAATTTATACAAATTTCGCGAATTTTAGATTTAGTGAATTCTTTTCTACTGTACAAAAAAAGATTCCTTTTCACCGTTTGTCTGATGTTCTTTCTTCTTCTGCTTTATTAGGTCTTTCATTGAAGACTCAAGTGCTTACAGCTATATTTTTGGCCGTAAGATTATACTGTAGCTTTATCATGGAAGCAGATATCCACACTGTGCTTGATCTGATCACTCTTGTGGCAACATTGTGGGTTATATATATGATGAAGTTCAAGCTGAAGTCATCCTACATGGCTGATCTGGATAACATGCCCTTATATTATCCGGTAAATACAATTTCGCTCCATGACTCTTTCCTGTATGATTTTTGTTGAATCAAACGCTGGTTTCTGCTAATTCCTTGAGTAGTTCCTAAGCTTATATTGGTACTATATACTTTTCGTATAAGCATTATTTCTATGTCCAAATGTGATCCCATTTACCCTGTCAGTGATAGAATGTTATTCTATTTTTATTGTTTTTTCTCCCACACATGTTCACTTGGCCCCATTTGCGATGATCTAGACTCATATAAGTTCATTAGATGCATGTACAATATTGTTACCAAATGAAGCAAATAAAAATTAGAAGGAAGAAGGTCAAATATTTGTTGTTCAAGTACTAAAAAAGAAAGATTACAAATATGCACTCAAATTCCTGGCCAACCAACCAGGGATGCGATGAGATGGCACTTTGTAAATGATTTATTTGAAAATAGAATTGCTTCATGATATTGCTTTTGAACTATGCCACTCCTTTGCACAGATAGTTCCTGCCGCGGTTATAGCCTTCTTTGTCCATCCTACTACAACTCATATTCTCATCAACAGGATGCTTTGGGCTTTTTGTGTGTACCTGGAATCTGTCTCGGTGCTTCCTCAGCTTCGCTTGATGCAGAATGTTCAGGTTCATATCTCTTCATTTCCAAAATATTGAGAGAGAAAAAAAAAGCACCTCGTCTTCTTAAACTTGTCTTTCCTGAATAAAAAGCCAATACTATGTTATGTTGTTGCATTTCAGATAATTGAACCATTTTCAGCCCATTATGTTTTTGCTCTGGGTGTCGCAAGATTCTTAGGTTGTGCTCATTGGATTATTCAGGTTAGTTTTTTAGTGTAATCTTCTTCTCTATATCTTCTTGAATTAATAAAACAGCTGGTCCTATTCCCTTCCCCGATTTTCCTCTTTGTTGGACGTTACAACCAATGAGAGGCAGATCAAGGGCGGGTCTAATGGTTCAACTGAACATTTGGCTCGGACTATGTATACATGTGTGAAATTTAAAATCTATATATATAATTAGATCACACTCATTCATAACCCACTTACTCTAAATTATGAATTCGCCCCTGCAAACAATATGGTACAAATGGCACAAAACATACACATTGTTCACATTGTCAGCGCGAGTCTAAGCTCTATAATCTCTAGAGTTAAGACTTACAACTATTCCTACACAGGTTTATGACACTGCTGGAGCATATATTTACTTGGCTGGACGCGGTTACTTCTGGATACCGATGGTCTTTTTGGCAGAAATTGTTCAAACGTTTATCTTGGCCGATTTCTGTTACTATTACGTAAAGAGGTGAGTCATTTGGCCCGAGTAATTCAACTACAATCGTAAATTCAATTTCATATACATTTTAACAAATCTATCGGAAACAGCTTTTTTTACCTCAAATGAGGTAGGGGTAAGGTCTGCATACACTCAGAGGCGGATCCAGAATTTGAGGTTTATGGGTTCCTATCGTAATTTCAAATTAATATGCAATAAATAACTAGGTTCACAGTTAGATATTTATAAATATTTAGTGAATTTTTTAATATAAATACAGGGTCTACGCAAGAGTTACTGGGTTCCCGGGAACCCATACTCAATGCTCTAGGTCCGCCCCTGCATACACTCCACCCTCCCTAGACCCTACCTGTAGTATCACACTGGGTACGTTGTTGTTGAGTTTTAACAAATCTAATATGTTTCTCTTTCTTGATTTGCAGCGTTATGAGCGGCCAATTGATCGTTCGCCTACCAACGCCGGTGTAAAATGCTAATGACTTTATCAACAAGGACTGTAGCATTTGTTAGTTCTTAAGTTATTATGTGAAATCAACTTGGAGTTTTTACTCTATCCTATCTTTTTATTTTGGAGAAAGAAGCAAAAGTTTTTGGTTTTGGAGATTTACATTTTCTGAATTTGATATCTCAATCACATAAGTTTCAGGGACAGTGGATTTAATCGTGCACTGCATTAGGATATCAGGACTTATATAGATCTTTGCCTTTCTTTTTCCCCCCTTTTCGCTAGTACAGGAGATTGTTATATCATAAACGTGGTGGAAATTGAAGAAGAAATATTTTCAGAACTTTGGTCTCTGTACTTTTTATGTGACACTTCTTTTATACAATCTAAAAGAAAAAATGTTTTTATCTTTTCGAAAACTAGTTAGGATACAACCTGAAACAAGGGTCCTGTTTGAACATAGATTTTTACTTCATTTTTTCAAAAGAAAAATTTAAAAATATTATTTGTTTATAAAATATAATCATATTTGGTAATAAAAAATTCAAAAAATTCCAAGTTCCAAAAATTGGTAAAATATTTTCTGTCATTCACATAATTTTGACTTCTTCAAATAAAATACATTTCGAAACGAAGTAATATTCTTACTTTATTTATTATATGATTTACATATTACATAGTAAAAGTCTTTCTTTAGTTATTTAAGTACTTAATCAAACACCTTGAAAATCTGCTTATTTTGATAAGTATTTTTTTCAAAATACTTCTCAAAAAAGTACTTTCAGTAAGAATCAATATGTGTTTGGCTAATTAATTTGAAAAATACTTTTTGAGCAACAATTAGTGTTTGACCAAACTTTAAAAAAGTGTTTCTAAGTGTATTTTCTTAAAATTTTTTTTTTTAAAAAGTGCTTTCGGGAGAAATTACTTTTTTCTGCATGCTTCTACTCAAAAATACTATTTTTTCCTTTAAAAGATCTTGGCCAAACACCTTTACTTTTAAAAAAATACTTTTAACAAAAAGATGCACTTTTGACGAAGAAAAAAAGTTTGGCCAAACACCTTAACTTTGTATGTATCGATCTTTTTTTAAAAAAAAAATTGAACTGTATATTTTGTCAAACAAAGGACCTTGTGTTATTAATTTGATGTACTCCTAGTGATTAAGTTTTGTGCGTTGAGATTAGTTGCTCATTCACGCCCCGTCATACAGAAATTCCTAATGACCTAACTGATAGCTGACATGTACTTTCGAACTGGCCCCACCACGCGTCAAGTTCACCAGTTTTTTCAAAAAGGGCCCACCAGAACATAAACAACGTGCGTCGTTATTCGCCACGTATAAAAATTAACCACTCATTCCTAGGATACACCAAAATCTTTTCACCCACTTGGTCGAACTATTCAATGGCCCTTCTGCTCAGTTCTGACACGTGTCGCGAAACTAGAACCTCATTGCACGTGCCACAGTTCAAAGCCACGTGGCAGATAAAGAGCATGCAGGTCTTGAGGTGGTGGATTAACGCTTTTGCTTTATTAAACGCTTTGGACTAATTAATCTTACGTGTCATGAAACTCTCATTTCATCGTCTCTTTTCATGCCACGTGGCTTTCTCCCCGGCCTTTTCTCTGTGACGCTACATTTACTGCTTAAATAGTTCTGTTGTTTTATCTTCTTTACATCTTTGTTCCGAAAAATAAAAGCTTTTACAAGAAATCAATTAGCTGAACGTTTTATGAAGTTTTAATTATACATGTTTACTGTGTTAATGGCGAAGAATTGTAAAATGTTGGAGCTTTTTAAGGAAGATGATAATGGCATTGAACTGAGTTTAGGGTTATCCATTGGAGGAAGTTATAGCACAAAGAAATCAGATGATAAGATTTTAATAGAGTGCCAAAGGTCACAAAAGAGGGCAATACATAGAGAAATGATGGAGAATGAGGAACAAATTTCAGCGCAAAAAGTTCGTAGAAAAGGGGAAATTGGTACTTTAAGCAATGAATGTGGTACCTATGAAGCTGCAAAAAGCTTGAATCTTTCTTTGAATCAAGATTCAAATGTAAATAATCAGAATATTGAAGTTCCATTTTGGGCTCAGAATGCTGGGAAAAGGGAATTAATGAAGAAAAATGTGCTACAGGGTGATGATTGTCGAGGTTTTAGGCGTTATAATGAGAATAGGGATGGGAATTTGAGTTATAAACAATGTAGAAGTAGTGAATCTGAGGAAAATTTCTCAGGCAAAAGTAATCTTAAGAATTGCAAAGTTATGTCGAGTGGTTCACCGGAAAGATGTTCCTCAACAATTTCAGAATGCCAAAGTTCATATCCTAAAGGTAATATACTTTGTTCTTTTAATTTAAAGTTATATATATTCCCCTTTTTTAATTAATTTTAAGTTATACATATAGGTTCCACATGGTGGATTTTAAAAGGGGGGAAAAACAATATGTGCCTAGTAAAAGGGGGAAAAAGTTGAGCAATGTGAAATATACATTGGCCCCGATCACCTATTTTGCTCGGACTCTACAAAAACATTACTGGGTGCGTGTCGGATCCTTCAAAAAGTAAAAAAAATTTGGATAATCCGACACGGTGCACCTCCATTTTGGAGAGTCTGTGCAACATAGTTGATCACCACCTCCTATAATAGAGGAAGTTTGAAGAACATCCAGCTACATTTACTATTTTTTGCAGTAGTAGCTTTGATCCACCACTTTCGTACCCAAGACTATGGTTGCTAGTTGTTGCCGTGTCTCTCGGTTCCCGGTTGCATTGCCTACAGCTAGTTTTGTATTTCTCAGTTTGCTTGTTATTGTCCTTCTATTTTTCCCCTCCTGAGCCGAGGGTTTACCGAAGCCTCTATGCCTTATTAAAGGTAGGGGTAAGGTCTGCGTACACTCCATCATCTGCAGATCCCACACGTGGGACTATACTGGGTATGATGTTGTTGTTGTCGTCGTCTGTATTTACTGACTACATTTGATCCTAACAAGTTGGTGGCTTTGCAGGTAGAAGCAGTAGTGATAATGCACAAGGAATACAGCCTAGTACTTCAGGGAGAAAGCATAATACACAGTTTGAACAACATACAACTAATGTCATTCCTATCAAAGAGGAACAGAACCAAAATGCAGAGAAGAGAATGCAATTTGATGCTAAAGTAGGTCCCAATTCCACAAACCAAGCAAATGTAAGTCCATTTTCTTCTCATTTGAAGCAGATTCCAAATTCTGAAATCAAGAATTGTGGCATTTCATTGCTTTCTCGAATGCCGTGTGTGTCAACCACTGGTAATGGTCCAAATGGGAAGACTATAAGGGGATTGTTATACAGGTATAATAATACAACGGAGATTAACATTATCTGTGTTTGCCATGGAAAATCATTTACTCCTTCTGAATTTATTGAGCATGCTGGTGGAGTTGATGTATCACATCCTTTGAGACATATCACTGTAATCCCCCCTTGTTCTTGATCGAAGATCCTGAACCTCTGTGCCTTTCTCTTTACTTTTTTTATCAAGTCGGGACGGATTTAAATGAAGCGACATAGACCTGAATATCCATACTTGCTTGGCTTGAGTTGTAGTTATGTTTATTGGCTCGCTTGAGTTGTGCGGAAATAGCTTCTTTACCTTCACAAGGCAGAGGTGAGGTTTGCATTTTTTGCTTGGTCTGCGGCATGGAAACATTATTGTGTGACAACAAACTAGAGAAATTTCACAAGTGGAGTCTGGGGAGGAGGGTAGGATAGCATGCAGCCTTATAGCATGCAGCCTTATCCCTACGCTCGCAGGGTAGAGACCGTTTTCGATAGACTTTCGGATAAAGAAGATGAAAAAGCGTTGTGTTATACTACTAGTGGTGTGTGTCATTGTCATAAACTTAAGGAGCTTTTTTTCCCAGCTCAATGCGTGCCAAAGAACAAACGCTTTTATCAACAGAAAGTAATATTCTCATTATCTCATTGGTAGAACCTGCTGCATAGGGCTAGTTCCTTGTAATCTTAGCAGCAGATAGCAATGTTCTCATTGTACCATTTGTTATATGGGCTATGGATATTTTTCTGTGTTGTAAATGTGTTTATCACGTGACTGACTTTGAAACTGAACGCTCTCTTCTATCCCTGCTGACCCCATGAAGGGATTATAATAAGAGTATATGTTATTACGGTACACAATTTCCCTAGAGTTTACGTGATATTTTCCGCACTTGAGTTTAACATCTAACGTAAATATGTGTAAAGGAGACATTGTTTTGTACTCAGTGATTCATTGTAAATATTTTGTACGAGCAAGTTTTTACGAGTGTACTATTTTGTTTAACTAGAAATGTAGAATAAAAGTTTATAAAATAAAGGGAAAAGGGTCAATTATTTTCCTTTACTTTCGGATATTGTCTATATTTAATCTTTGCTATATTATTCGACCTAATTTATTTTTACTGTTATATTGTCCGGTCAAATTTACCGTTTTCATTAACAAATTTTAAAAATTATCCCTTGATCTGTTAAGTAATCTAAAATCTCTCAATTTTCTTTTATTTGAATTACTTAATGTTTTTCTTGCTTCACTATTTTCGGAGATTACTGTTGATTTAGATGCTAAAAATACTAAGATATACAAATATTCATGGATATTTTTAGTTATCAATGCAACACAGTTTGGAATTGGTTACAAATTTTATCTGTTTTCAACCATCTATATACCGCGAAGTTCAGTGAGTCTATGTATTATGCATTATATGTGTCTGATCATCATATATGTATATGTATATTTGAAAATATTTTATTATTGTCTGATTAGTATACAGTTCGATCGGCTAACTTAAGAGTGCATAATGCGTAACTTAAGAGTGCATAATGCGTAGGCGTTTGCTTAAAGCAAAGTTGAGTTCGACAATGTAAAGTCTTCAAGAACTTCAATTCTTATCACTAAATTAGAGCAATTTGTTATCATTTAACTTTCGTATATCAATAAAGTGCAGCGAAGTTGGAGCGTAAATGGTAGCTAAACTACATAGCCTACTATTAACAGCCCATATTTAAACCATTGCTTGTCCCCGAGCAATCAAACCACACTCTACAGAGGACTAACTTCACCAAGCGACTTTCCTAACTCGTCACACCAAGAATATTTCACATAGATTGAGCATAGTAGTATAACATCTACATCTCAAGAGTTGACTCTTACAAGGCACGTAATATTCCTAACTTACTCACTTACTCTAACGCAGAGGTCAAGACTTACCTTTCCTTCGTGAATTAAGTTCCTGCTCACGACAAAAGAGACTCATTCCACAATCAAATAGAATTCACTCACAAAGAGGAACTTTAACGTAGACAGAATTCATTCACCCTCAGAAACGACATTCTTGTGCCACAAAAGATGCTCCATCGGCTTGCCCGTAGTGTACTACTCTACTGAGCTCATTCAGTCTAGGATCAAGTAGGACTTTATTTGGTTGTAGTGTAGGATGAGGGACGGGTAAGATACATTTAGATATAAGAGTGACTACACCTCCCTAAGCACTTTAATACATACATTTTAACATTTAAGACCCTACTTATGTCAAACCAAACTCCACCTTCACATTAATGTGTATTACCCCATACTTCTTTAAACACAAATACATCAAGAACCACCACTTATATATATATATATATATATATATATATATATATATATATATATATATATATATATATATATATATATATATTCACAACAATGCAACTATTCTTTTCTTTCTTTCCTTTTTTTTTCAATTCAAGTGTCTCTTACTTTTTTAAAACAGTGCACCATTCTCCTTATATCATTAGTTCCACTCAAAAGCCAAACCAACCACCCCACACTTTAACTTTTACACATTTCATAACTTTAAGTGCTCGTGAGAGGTTAGAGGGTTCAAATAGATGGTTAATTCAAATAAATGGGTAAGACTTGTAATGTGGTTGCCAAAGAAACAGGATTACAGGCTCAAATAGGTTAACTACGGTACATTACAATTAGGCGGGTAAATATATATATGGCTCAACAAAGAAATGCTTGTATCAGTTTCAAGATTGAACACAACTACTATTTCGCTTTGCAAACACACGGGGCAAGTTCTAGGCATCAAATGCAGTGCACAGAAATGCAACAATCGTCACACACACATGGCACATGACTCATCCAGATTGGATCATCAAAAAACTCTAGTCAGGTTACTTAAGCCAAATTAAGAACATACAGTTTAAGGCATTCTAACAAGAGTCAATAATTGAGCCTAAGCGTCATACTAAAGTACCTGCTGTATTCAAGGCATAACGACGTTAAGAGATCCTTATTTCCATATCAGCCCATAGCCCACGAATTCCTAACTAAAAATTAAAACTAACTACATCCGGTTCAAACGAAACCCTTGGAAAAGAACCGCGGTCCAAAGAAAAACAAAGGGAGAATTGATACACTACCTACAAAAGAAAGACTTTTTTTTTCTTTCGACTTATACCCTCAAGAAACCCGTCGAGTGATATCCATTGTCGGGACAAGTTGAAAATTTGATTTTTTTTTCACACATTCACACATTTAGAATAACTAACCAAAGACTCAAATCAAACTAACCGAAGACTAAAATCAAACTATATTCCTATATATATACAACATATCCCCCACCCCACACTTAAAATGATGGCATGTCCCCATGTCACACAAAATAAAGAAATAGGTAAAGGAAACTTCCTTGGTACATCAATCTTTATCGGAGACAGTGTCGGGGTCGAGATGGCACGCCCTCCCCCGCGCACGCAGCCAAGCCATGATCTTCTTTTCCGATTTTGCATTTTGGGTGGCCAGTGCATCAACTCGACCCCCAAATCTATGACAGAAGTGCGCAACCCTGCCATTTCCTGCTCTAAGGCTGTCATCCGCGTATTTCGTCCGACCACAGATGTTCCTTTAGCCTCTGCAACTGGTTCATGTGTGGGTGACTCAGCCCCAACTTCATCCTGCCTTTCATCTCCCACCTCTGGTGTATCAGAATCATCACTATTAGCACATCCAGGTACCACAGGGTCCTTCCTAATGGTCACTTTATCTGCCCGAAACTTTGTTTCTTTCTTCTGTGACGACCCGACCCGTCGTCACGTGAGTTACCGCCCCGTTTCCCCCATGTTATGCTTCTTCATGTTTCATTATCAGTATTTGATGTGTTAGAGTTGGTTTGGAATGGTTTTGATAAGAAATGAGACACTTAGTCTCTTTTAAGAAGGCTTAAGTTGGAAAAGTCAACCGGATGTTGACTTTTGTCTTAGAGGGCTCGGATTTGAATTCCGATGATTTGGTTAGCTTCGGGGGATGATTTGTGACTTAGGAGTGCGATCGGAATTGATTTTGGAGGTTCGGTGTATAATTAGGCTTGAATTGGCGAAGTTAGTATTTTGGCGAATTCCGGTTGGTAGGTGAGATTTTGATCCGGGGGTCGGAATGAGATTCCGAGAGTTGCTGTAGCTTCTTTAGGTGATTTTGGATGTGTGTGCAAAATTTTAGGTCATTCGGAGGTGTTTTGGTTGGGTTTCTGATCGAATGCGTGTTTCGGAAGTTTTAGAAGAACTTAGGCTTGAATTCGATGAGAAATGATGGTTTTAGTGTTGTTTGAGGTGTTTTAATGATTGGATCAAGTTTGAATAAGGTATTGGATCATGTTTGTATTTTTGGTTGAGGTCCCGAGGGCCTCGGGGTGATTTCGGATGGCTAACGGGAAGTTTTGAACTTAGGAGATTGCAGAACCTGTGCTGCTTCTGGTATTTTCGCTCCTGCGAAAATGGGACCGCAGAAGCGAGTCAAGAACCGCAGAAGCGACAGGCATCGCAGGTGCGGAGATGCTGACCGCATCTGCGGAGTCGCGGATGCGACAGTAGGACCGCAGATGCGGAATTTTGGAAAGCTAAAGGAAACCGCACCTGCGTAAAAGGAATCGCAGATGCGAGACCGCAGAAGCGGTCTAGTAACCGCAGAAGCGGCTTCCCATCGCAAAAGCGGAAGTCGCAGATGCGGCTATGTAGCCGCAGATGCGGAAATAACTGGTCAGAAAGGGTTTTAATTCCCTTCGTGAAATATTTACAGAACACATATTTTGACTTCGAACTTGGGGTGTTCTTGAGCGATTTTGAAGAGGAAATTCAAGGACTTTGATCAGGTAAGCATTCTTGGACTTAGAACACAATTTTATCATGCAAATACATGAAATTTCACTGAAAACTCAAGAAATTAGGGTCAAAAATGGTGGTTTAGGGCTTGAAACCTAAGAGAACAAAAATGGGAATTTGAGGGGTCATTTGGACTCCGATTTTGGTGTTCTTTATATGCATGGACTCGTGGCGAGATAAGGAATCTGGTGATGTGAATTTTATAATTTTTCGAGAAGTGGGCCCGGGGCTCGGGTTTTGCCGACTTCGTGATTTTCGATGTTTTTCGATTGAGTTATATTCCCTTAGCATATTGTGACGTATTCGTTGTGGTTTTGGTCAAATTCGACGCGCGAAGAGGTGAATTCGAAAGGCAAGGGCATAGCAAGCTAGGACTTTGGCCGGCTTGAGGTTAGTAATAAATGTAAATGCTGTGTTGAGGGTTTGAAACCCCGAATTTGCACATCGTAGTGCTATGTGAGGTGACTTGCACGCCGGATAACGGGCGTGGGGTAGAGCACCGTCAGGGACTGTGACTTGGTCCGTCCCGCTTAATAAAATTGGTACCTATTTGATTGTAGATTTGTAATATCCTTATAAAAATGGATTAATTGTCATAATTGGGCTTCGTGCCAACTACTTGAGTCCTTCAGGGATTATTTTAATGGTTTCTTACCATATTTATAAATATTAAACTCAGTCCTGGTATTTAATACTGTGTTTGAAATCTCAGCCTTTTTCTTAAATTAGAAATTAAGTTAATATTTTTAAATGAAGTTTGGGCAGAATAATTTTATACTATTGTGTGATTTTTGGACTGAGTATGGGATCGGGCTGCACGCCGCAGCAGTATTATAATGATATTGATATGAGGCCAAGGGCCTGTTTGATGCCACGAGATGGCTTATTTTTGCGCTTGGGCCGTAAGGGGCCCCTCCCGGAGTCTGCACACCCCCAGTGAGCGCCGTCGACGTTAAATAAATGGAGCGGGCTGCACGGGCGCAGCGGGGTACTGGAGGTACCGGTTTATGTGTTGCATTGCATATTTAATTGTTATTTGTTCTCATTCTGGTGTGACTTTATTATAACTGTTTTTAATGTTTACTGTATTATGCTATTGGTTGTTGTATTTATAGTTTTACTTTGTGTTTATTTAGGATTTCTTATCCTCAGACTTTATTTATATT